GATGGTGTACCTGGTGCGATGGTGCGATGGTGTACCTGGTGCGATGGTCGATGGAAAGGAAATCGTCGATTGATCGGACTACCGTCGCCTCTGCCGTCGCCGGTCGCCTCGCCGGTCGCCTCTGCCGTCGCCAGTCGCCTCGCCGGTCGCCTCTGCCGTCGCCGGTCGCCGATTGATGAATGGAGGTGCGATGGAGAGGTAAGGGAAGGCGGGAAGGAAGCGATGGTGAGGGTAAACTAGTAAAAAATAGCCTGTTCTACTTAGTTCCAGGTGGTAAGGTAGAACACCCGTGTCCCATACTTGTTCATGTTAGTTCTACTTAGTTCCATTTAATAACACACCAAACATGGGACAAGTGTGTCCTGTTCTGTCCTGTTCCACCTTGTCCCACGCACCAAACGCACCCTAAAAGAACTTGTAGGATTTTATTTTGTTTATTATTGAAACTTTGAAAAACAAATTTCATTAAAAAATAAAAGAAAGTAAATGAAAGAGCAAATCAAAAGTTGGAGATTAAACTTGGGTATACAAAATTACAAAAAAAACCCCAATTAATTATGAACTACACATTCTTCATACAGGGGTAGAAAAGTCTTTAATATATTCAACATTTAAAAAGATCAAAAAATTGAGAAAAAAGATAGAAGAGGTTCTAAGCATTAAAATGTGCCACCTCATTATCCTTGGTTTTTTCTTTAATATATATATAGATTTTTGCTCTTTCCTTTTGTAATCATACCGTATTTTATAATCCGTCACACAATCACAAATGTCGCGAAGTCATCGTAGATTTTCAAAGAATCAAACATTTTTCCTCATATTAGAAACGAGGAAAAATGTCTGATTTTTATCTATCCAAACTGGTCTTCTTCTATATGGTCGGATTCTATCTGATCTAACTCAAGTCCAAAAAACAATAGTTCATTTGACCTAACATGATAACTAACCCATATCTAATCCATCGAGCTACCGTGTTAGACTTTCATCATTTGACGTGATTATAGCATTGACGATGCAATACATGACATTATACGTAATCGAAAAGGGTTTTGATCATTGAACCGTGTTTTAAGTTGTTAATAATGTTGTGATAATATCATATCATATCAAAATGGAAAAGGAAATAATTTGCATACAAGTTATGACCACCAATAAAAGCAGTTACAAAATATATCCCATCATCATCATCATCACCACCACCATCATCATCCTCATCATCATCATCATCATCATCATCATCTCCCATAATTTCCTTTTTGTCTAATTAAATTTATCTACAACAACATACTCTCTATACACCTTCCTTCCTTCTATTTGAAACACAAAAATGGCTATGCAGAAAAAGTAACACATATATCTATTCTCCTTATAAACCAACCAAATGAACACAGTATATCCCACTTGATCTAGAAACAATTCAAACCAAACCAACACAGTATATCTCACTTGATCGATCAGGAAATGGTTTAAACCAAACCAACACAGTATATCCCAGCTGAGAGATTAGACTAACTCCAAGACCTTGATATTTCCCATGGAACTTGCAGCAACCAAAGTAGAGGATTGACTACGCCAACACACCGATGAGATGAACTGTTCAGAGTCGTCCACTTCATCTCCTGATATCGGATCTGTGGTGTTGAATTTATACGACAATGCAGGCATGGGAAATATTTTGTGATACACAAAAACCTGCAACCATCAACCGATGAAAATATGGTATTTAAGAACAACATTTAAAGTATTTGTACTGGAAATGGCGGATATGCCTAATTAACGATAATTGCAGCAAAACATAAATTCTTGGCTTCAAAGGTCCGTCCGTTAGCAGTTGACAGTTCTTAGACACCACAGAAGTTCACAATGCTACAACTCGTAAACCTTCAAAAGAGCTACTTAAAGTACTCAGAATTAAACTTCAAGTGGATACTAAGGCTAACAGGAAGATTAAAAAAATAAAAATTGAGGAACACCCTAACAACTGTTCATTTGTATGTATGATATGCACATAAGTAATTTGTCAGGTATGCATATGTCCACAACATGCAGTCATGCATAGAAACCAGAAAAAATCTTTAACTACTATGCACATGTGCATACCATTCAAATGAATGGTTATTAGGGTATTTCTCGGTTTTTCATTTTTGGGGTTTCCCCTTGAACATCAGTCTACATATACACACACACACATATATATACGGGGTTGGGTTCAGGGAACCATAAAAAATGAATAACTGAGGAACACCCTAATAACTATTCATTTGTCCGGCATAGACATGTGCATTAAAGTAATTTGTTCGGTATGCACACGTGCATAGAAGCAAGATATATTTTCAATTAATTTTATGCACATATGCATACCAACCAAAGGAATGGTTTTCCCTTTTTTTTTTATGGTTTTCCCTTGAAACCGTGTCTATATATATATATATATATATATATATATTGTGTTAATAAATAATATATTATAGTGCTAATTCATAACAATGAGTACTGAAAATTGTTAAAGCAAGTACCTCGTTTGTTTCTGAACCAGTAGCAATGTAACCATCAGATACCGATAAACCAACAAAGTTCTGAAAAAGAAAATGAGGTTGCAAAGGTGAGCATCATCTCCAATGTTGTATAATAGAGAAATTCAATTACTTGAAGCCAAAAACTGAAACTTGTTCATAAAAACATTCAATTCAGTTCCTTTGATAGTAAAGAAAGTAAACAGCCAAGTGAGGGCCTTTGTCTGGTGTGTGAAAATGCTACCATTGATGCAGATTTCAACCTATTATTGCCAATTAACAATTAGATGAAAAATTGTTTACTTTATGAACTCAAATCGACGTGCATTTTTATACAAATATAACCCCAGCATCATCTAACTTGCAATCTGATATAAACTATGGTCACATATACCAACATACACACCATAGCTCCCATGAAAGGGCCCTTGTTTGCTTTATCATAATATATACAGTATCAGCTATATATATGGATGTAGTCAATAAAATATAACACTTGGGCCAACTAACTAAAACTTGTCCTACCCACGAGCGGTTTAGGGGATGTTTGGTTGGTTTTCCAATAAGTCTTATATGGAAAAAGTTGTCTGTGTGGATTAATCTGTCTGTATATATGGAGAAGGTTTTTGTTTGGCAGGTCTTTTTTGTAGATGGAATGAGCATGTTATTTTAATTGGGAATGGCAGGTTTGGGAAAAACTTGGCTTTCTGCATAAAGCTCACATGGAAGCTTACTTGATAAGCCACTTTCTATATCATTAAGCCACTATTAAACAGTCATGTATAGTTGACCAAATAAGTTGCGAGTCCCATTAAGCTCCTAACAAACAGACCCTAGATAAGGATGTCAAAAAGCCAGCTTAGTGGCATTTACCTAAGAATATCAGAAAATCGAAAAACTCCTAAACTTCTGATAAAACCTTGATTAATCTGTCTCTATAGATTGAGAATGTTTTGCTTGGGAGGGTTTTTTTCATAAATGGAAGGGGCGTGCTTTTTAATTGCGAGGGGCAGGTTTGAAAAAAACTTGGCTTTCTGCATAAAGCTTCCCCTGATAGCTTACTGAATAAGTTACTTTCTATATCATTAAGCCACTTAAAAACAGCTATATAGCTGACCGAATAAGCTGCGAGTCTCATTAACTCATTAAGATGCTAACAGACATTCCCTTAGTTAAGCTCATGAAATGAATAAGCATACCTTTACATTCATATGGCCCGTGAATGACTGAAGCGGAGAGTCCAGAATTTGGGATGTGCACTCTGACAAATCCCAAAGCTTCAGCGTGTTATCCGTGGATGAAGACACAAGAGTTGATGAATCCACGAATTTGACGTAGCTAACAGTTTTGTTGTGTCCAACTAACGTAAAAAGTGGCATGCTCGGATTGCGAAGATCATAGTAATAAATTCGATGATCAGCTGAACCAAATGCTAAGGTATTGCCAGAATCAGACGGGAACTGAACACAGCAGACGTTGGCCTTTGTCTTAATGGTACCAGCACTCACTCCCTGCAGTAACAAACCCACAAAACGAAACAGCTTATTATAAATCCAGATCTCAGACTAGAGATTACATATAATTAGATATCTGCAGTACGTTTAGTTTGAAAGCTGACATCCACCAAGTGCAAGAATAGAATTGCCTGATTGATATTCCAGAGCTTAACGGAACCATCATCACTCCCGCTGGCCAACAACGTCGGATTTGCCAAAGAGAAGTCCACAGACCACACACGTCTCTCGTGCTCTTTTAATTCCATAAATACTTGATTTCGTGTAACATCCCATATCTGAAATATTCAGAAGAATTAACGAATGTTCACCATGTAAGAACAAGAATCTTTTTTGGGGCAAAATTAAACGAAGTTTGCCTTAATTCCCATTTAATGTAACAAATATTTTTTTCTCAATCAATGTAACAAAAAATATAAATTTTCCTACTCTTTACCAATTCCGAACAGTAGCCTGCTGATCTTGTAATATTTGGTAACGTGGATGTCAAGTTCATGGTCCACTTTGCCGTAACCTTTAGAAAACCTTCCGTAAACTGACATCTACGTCCTTAAATGTTACAAATCAGCAGGTTATCGGTCAAAATGGGTACAAAATAGGAAAATCTAAAACTTTGTTACGTTGATTCAGGAAAAAAAGTTATTCATTACACTAAATAGGAACTAAACCAAAGTGTGTTACATTTTGATTCACTTTTTTGGAAGTTGGATATATGTGTGTGTGTGCGTATGGCTCGGGATACCTGTACTACACCATCGAAATTACTTGAAGCAATCTGGCCTTTGATGTATCCATTCCAACATATACTGCTTAGCTTTGATCTACTTGACATTTCAACAACAGGGTAATGTATGTCACGATTCTCGTTCAGAATCGAATCATACTCAAAAACTTTAATTTTCTTATTTACACCGGCCGTTGCAAAGAATTCTCCATCACGATCAAAACCCAACGAGCATACAAGATTGGAAGAATTCAAAAGATCTCCTTGTTTTAAGTCTGCCTTAACTTTCAACTTCCTAAAAGACAAATATTTGGACAACCCCTCCAAGAACGAGTTGATCCATATACTTTGCCTACCTTCTGCAGGCCGCTCTCTCGACAGAAAATTATTAGCAGAACTTCTTTCTGTAAGAACAATAGATCCTTTACCATCACTACTCATTGGTGCATTTCTAGGCAACGGTTTGGCTACCGGTTTGAACGCCCTACGCCTAGTCAAAAAGTAGGCGGATTCTAGTTTCTTGAAGTTCCTCATGAGTCGAGAACTTCTAGAGATAGCATTTTCTCTATCTCTAATGTGTGTATCTGATGGGTGATACTCATCTTGAAGACTACTGGATATTTCTGCATTAAGGATCTGGGTTACGGGTCTGATTCGTTTTCTAGATCCGGAGCTAACGGAATCATCGTTCTGAGAGATATTTGCGGATGGAAAACTTGAAGGTGAATCTCCATGATTTGAACTCACACCTCCTTTTCTCCGAATAGATATCTGCAATTTCGTAACCTCCTGTAAATCCGAAGATATAAATGAAACTGTCCTGCGCAAATTGTCCGCAGATTCCTGCTTTCGTTGTTGCAGCATTAAAAGAAATTCCAGCAACAACTCCTGCTCTTCGATCTTTTCTTTAAGCTCGATTACTGCTTCTCGCTCAACTAAGTTATCTCTAGGTTCATTAAGAAATTCACTTTGCAGCACTTCACTAATAGCAAATAAGAGAAAATTAGCATAAGAACATGCAATATCATCAGAAGGATATTGCAGAGTGCAAATGTTTGTAACTTTTTTGTAAAACAAGCATAACAAGGGGAAAAACCTGATGAACAAAGTTTAACAATGCAAAATGTGTAATATCTCGTATAATATCAAACAACGAGGCAAACCCACAATGCATCTTCATTTCTATTACCATATTAAACTATCCAACCACAGAAATACAAATTGAGTACCAAGATATACAGAACTATTGTGATAGTTCGACTGACATGCCCCTGCCAAACAAGAAACTTAAATTTTGGTGAACATAATTGCAATTAAGCCCCTATCGAAAGCTAAGAGTCTGTTTGTTAGCATCTTAATGAGCTTAATGGGACTTGCATCTTATTTGGTCAACTATACATTACTGTTTGGTAGTGGCTTAATGATATAGAAAGTGACTTATCCAGTAAGCTCCTAGGGGGGAGCTTTATGCAGAAAGCCAAGTTTTTTTCCAAACCTGCCCCTCCCAATTAAAAAACAAATTTTTTCCATCTATAAGAAAACCCTCCCAAACAAAAACATTTCCAATCTATATAGACAGATGAATCCACACAGACAACTTTATCCATACAGAACTTAATGGAAAACCAACCAAACAGCCCCTAAGAATGATTTAGTTCTTGTATATCCCCCCTGCACTACCATGGAAGAAACTTCATTATCTGGGTACCGTTCTCCTATTGGGAACTTCAACTGTCCACGGTCTTTTTAGCATGGCAAGCCCCAAGTTAAACCATATGGAAAACAGAACCCTGACACCTTATAACATTTCTAAAAATTAAACAGCAGTCAATTGCATTTTCCCAACTCGTGTTCATCTATCGACTTTTCACAACTTGGAAGAAATGTTTCTATCGTTTATGATGAATTGTATCAATAGAACAATAAACATTTAGAACCACAATTGCATCAAATTAATACAGTGCCAAACTATTTAGTATCAATGTTTAGCATCCAGTTCGCATAAATGAAATAAAAGGGATGGTAAGCAAGTAGCAACATAACCATGGTGCAAATAATACCTAGATTACCTACAAAAAAATCTTTAAAGAAACTCACTCCATTTTTGGCCTACTAGCAGGCTCAGGATGCAGTAACCACAAGCAAAATAAGGCTTCTTTAGGCCACTTCAATAATAACTGAGGAGGAAAGACACGATGTCTCAGGCTAGACATAGTTGCATTCTTTTCTTCTGCTGAACTACTTGTGCAATATAACTAATATGGAAATAAAATGAAATTGGGTTAGAATAGAAGGCCATGAGACACAATATAACTTAATCATTCAGAACAAGAGATATAAGAATAAATCATACCTCAAAAAGAAGAACCCCTAGTCGATAAACATCAGAAGCACAAGAACTTGGAGCACCAGCAGCCTCCTCTGGACTCGTGTACCAACTAGTTTCCATTTGCAATATTTGTTTCATTGGGAAGGGATCTTTCTTTTCTTCTGCTTGGTCAACATTACTAGCTTCTAAATTCTCAGAACCTGATTGCAGCCAAGTGTTCTCCGATGCTGTTTGGGGTAAGTTTCTGGGATTTTTCTCAAGTCGGAAACTCTGATTGCCTAGTTTACTTTCCAGTTGATTTGGACCCAAAGGCAAACACAATCCCATAAAGTCAGCGGACTGGTTGTTTGATTCATCCTCACAAGAATCCGAACCTGAATCTGAGCAAGATACAGATTCTATAAAAGATACACGATTAAACGAGGACATGACAAAGCACGATGGTCGAACATTATGCACAACAAACCCTTGGGAATGTGCCAAGTTCACAATTTCTACTATCTGCATAAATATGTGCAAGCATTCAAGGGCATCAACAACTCTTTCGGTGTTATCTAACCACTGTCTTAAGCTAACATCCTTGAGTTCCACTGGACGAATAACCGCACCATCATCCTCCCTAAAGTAACCAAACTGAGTTCCAAAACGATTTGATTGACCCAATACTGTTTTTTCGATTCTTCCCCTCCCTGCTACGATTCCCGAATCTTGATCTGTGTCACCCGAGAATCTCAAGGTGCTGGCAGGAATTATTCTGGGGTTTCTACTAGAAACAGCTGAAGAATTCAGCCCCCTAGAGCTGCCAGACCTCTGCCAACCAGATTCAGACGAATTCTCCATTATTATCCACCTATAGCTTCATAAAAATCAGACCAAATGCATACAGTTCTACAGAATTCTCTCACTCCCACAAAAGCCATCTTGAATCAGAAAAGCATTTTAGCTCCACGAAAGATCTTGAAGACTCCCTGAGCCACAAAACTCTAATCTTTACTCCCTCCAATTCTTGGCAACACCTTTTTGGCCTGAAATTTGTTTACACTCAAACAAACTTTAAAAACCACATAAATCAAGATTCATGTCTACAGTTGGATTAGCAACTAATAAGTGAAAAATTAGAAACCAGATGAAGATATCATGCAAATAAGATAGAAATATCACCTTTTGCTGATCAAGGAACAAAATAGAAAATAGCCGCAGCAACACGTAAACAGAAGAAAGTAATGATACCGGTGATCAAGAAACAAGATAGAAAGAAGGTTGGGATCTTCTTCTTCTTCTTCTTCTTCTTCTTCTTCAGCTTCTGCAGACAGGAACCGCAAAAATCAAATCTTTTCTTTAAGAACAGTGACCTTTTGTCCACAGCCACATAAAATGGGCACTATTTTTCTTGCCAACAGTGAGAGAGAAAAAGAAAAAATGAATAAAAAAAATACTTGTTTTCTTTTTCTGGAATGAAAGAAAAACCAGATGTGATGATAATACTGTACTGTTTTCTATTTGGAGCCCTAGACTGACCCATCATCTCTAATCCACTCGTTCCCACTTCTTTTCTCCATGGACATACGTGGCACATCCGTGTCCTCTAAACCCCCACTTCTCTTCCAAACAAGAATCTGCAATTCAAAAAATAGCATCTCCATGACGAATTATATAATCAAGAAACTATGACAATATAATAAAATAAGGATTAACAGGATTTTTGATTTTGTGAGGGGCCACGCCACGTGATTTGGTAGGCTAATGGGTGGTGATTGGTGAACTAATACAAAATTGAATAAGATAATCAACTAATTAGATGACGTAAGAACTGGATTAGGGTTTCTAAAAGAGTATAATAATAAAATAAGTACAATTCTCCGTTGAGTAAATAGGGGGAACTGGGATACCGTATCACAAACCTCCTTGAAATCTTCATCAAAATCCATCATCAAAATCACAAACCTCCTTGAAAGCTTCTACAGATCGAAGATTCTCAGGAAGTGATTGCTGTCACCTGAATCGGAAAAAATTGCATTACAATCGTTGGTTTCTTCTGCATTTTGATTTAGTCAACTACGGCTGAGGTTTTTGAGATAAAATCACAAGTTATTGAGAATCTTGGGATCGTTGTAATGGTACTTTTTATCGTTGAGTGTGATTAATGAGGGTAAGCAGGATTATGAACAGATCACCAAGAAGGAAGATAGATGGTGGCTTCAATGGCACCAAAAGCCAGTGACTCATGGTCATGAAATTAATACACTAATATGTAAAATTGTAATTTAAATTGAAAATGAAAATTTAATATAATTATTTGTTAAAATAGCAAAAAAAAAAATATGCAACAAGGATAGTTAGACATGAGAAGCGTAAGAAGGGATGTAACATCTCATGTTATCCTTACCAGATATTATCCGTTTTGTTCACATACCTGGACTCACGGTTGGCCTGGGATATTACAGATGATATCAGAGTTGGGAACCGAATTGTATGCTAGTGAGGATGCGAGGCTCTCAAGAGGGGTGGATTATAAGATCCCACATTGGTTAGGAAGGGAACAAATGTTTGTCTTGTAAGGGACTTGATACCTCCTATATCATACGTCTTTTAAAACTGTGAGTTCAAGTATGTGAACAAAGTGGACAATATTGGTACAGTTGGTTTGGGATGTTACAGATGGTATCAGAGCCAAGAACAAACTGATGTGCCAACGAGAACGTTGGGCTCCTAAGGGGGTGGATTATAAATAACAACACATGGGTCGTGGAGTACCCTCAAGAAATAGGAACTTTTTTGAACTCAAATAATCAACAGAGAGATCATGACAAATACATTGTTGGTACAACCATACAGAACCGAACAGATAGCTATAAAAAACAAGTAACAGTTTGCTAAGCAACTTATTGGTTCTTGATATAGATGAAAATAATTGGGACAATTTTGTCAGTTATTTAACAACTTATGGTCATGAAAAGCTCATTTTTCATGCTTTTGAAAAGTATACAAGTACTTCTATTGATAATAGAAAGTCACATCAGATGGAAGAACGAAAATGAGCAAATGGTCTTTGGTCTAGCGGTATGTGAGTCATTAGCTTCCAAGGAGGTCAAGGTTGAGAAGGGTGCGTGAGTTTATTTGTTTTATTTATCGTATATAAATATTATATACTTCAAAAAAGAATATTTTATTTTGATTCTTATTTTGTAAATCAATTACAAATATTTTATGCAACAACCTGGATAGGAACCGACATAAATGGTTACTGTTTTTAGTTATCGGTAGTAACCAGTTAAAGAACCGACAGGTTACCTGATTTACCCTTTTCTACTCCTGTTAAAATTAGGGGTGCTCAAAAACCCGATCAACCCAACCCAACGCAACGCGAAATAACTCAACTCGAGATGTCTAATTGAGTTGTAAAATTTTCAAACCGTATATATTGGGTTGCTATTATTTGAATTCAACCCAACCCGATGGACCAGATATCCTTTTATTTATTGAATTTAATATGATTGTTGAATTTCTATTAACATATACATTAAACGATTACACTATCACGTACGCTATTCATATACACATATTTTCAATCTATTCTCATCTCTATATAACTAATTCGTATATATGTTCAGTAGCTGTGAACATATATATGTAAATTGAAAAAAATTAACTGAATGTGATATACGTAAGAAATATGAATAACTTATATCAAATGGTTGATGATGAAAAAGAAATTATGAGTAGTCAAATAACATATTCAATGTTTGAATAATATTTTAATGTAGCAAAGTATCAACCCGACTAACCCGTACGGTTTAGGTTAGGTTGGGTTGCATTTTGCTTTGGGTTGGATTTTGTTAAGATTTCTCAAAATGTTTTCAACCCGATCAACCCAACCCATGTGCAACCCTAGTTAAAACAATAAATAACAAAACACAACACTTAAGGGGGCGTTTGGGATTGCTTATTTTTTTTTTTTTTACTTATTTCAATCTGACACCGGTGATAAGCTAAATGTTAGTGTTTGGATGAGAAAAAAATAAAACTGCTTATATCGGTGCCAAACCGGTAATAAACAGTTTTTGATAAGTTAATCATTTATGACTCATGAAAAACTGTTTATTACCAGTTTACCATTTTAACTTTGTTTTATTAATTATTAATCTTATTGATATAAATTTTTGTCAAAGATATTATTATTAATGATGAAAAATAAATTTTTACATGTTAAAAAATCAAATAAGTTAATAAGCAATCCCAAACACTCTCATAAGTCAATAAGATGGAAGACTGTCTTTTTTGGTCATTTTACGTATATAAGCAAAATTTGTCAAACACTAAAAAACAACTTATCAATTTATTGCTTTTTGGTACCGCTATAAGCTAATACAAACATTTTTTACAAAACTTCGGTTTGATACTACATAAGTTAACAAACACTTTTATAAAAAAAAACACAAATTGTTTTAAATAAGCAATCTCAAACACCTCTAAGGTCCTAAGTTACACGTCTCGATGTTCGATAATTTTGTCATTTGTCGATGTTTCTTACAACACCATTCAACAATGTAAATGTCGTTTTCGGTCTTTTCCTTTTTTAAAAATAAAAAAAATAACATTTTGCTAACTTTTATGTGGGTTATTTTTCTAAAATTTAAAAGATAAAAAAAAAAGATTTATTCAATGAATTAAGTTATTCTTTTATTTGTTATAATTACAAAAATTAAATGACTTAATGAGGTAAAATAAAGGGTTATTATCAAACTCTTACCAGGTAAATATTTACTGGATGTCATTTATCTTAATGGTAAAAATATTATTCCAGTAAAAGACATAACAAAGACCAAGAATCTTACTTGATAAGTGAGGAAGAAGACTCTGACTCGGTAAGCGTTACTAGTAAGCGTTTATCCGGTAAACAACCCATAAAATTGAATTTTAATAAGGTTTCAATTATAACAAATATTTTCCCATCTTTAAAAAGACTTAGATGGTCCCAACTCCCAAGTAGAGATGGGATCATTAACTTAGGGGTCGTTTACTAAACACTTACCCGGGTAAGAGCGATGAGAATGATAGAGAGTCGTACCCGGTAAGTGAGGATTACGACTCTTACCCAGATAAACGCTTACTCAATAAATTGTTGCATTCGATATGTTTTGATGTACTAAAATCTTTCTCATCAAAATAAATCATAGTGTTGACTCCTATTAGTAAGCGCTTACCGGGTAAGCAATTGGGTAAACGGCCCCTTAGCCACTTATTAACCTAACCTGACCAATAACCAGTTAAGATGTGACGAATTAGGCCGGATATGTAATAGACTCCAACCAGTTACCTTCCGAAATCAAAATTGATTCTACATCGGGCTCAGAAACAATTACCATAACTGGTTAGAGGAACTAAAACAGTAACTTTTTTTAGTAACCACTTTTTTCGACCTTTTTTTATCTTTAACAAAGTTCTTGATTATTATTAGCAGTGGTTCTCAAAGCGGGTCTTCAGTTCCTGCCAATAACGTTATCGAGTAATTGAGGAGTACAACTGAAAAACCCGATGTTACATTATGTATCCATGGGGAGGACCAGTAAGAACCTGATCGATTAACCGGTTTGCCCATCTAGTTCCAAGAGCTTGCTCTATAGTTAGAAGAGTTAAATCACAATTTTTATACCTATGGTTTGTTTATAATTTCAATTTTTGTCCGTATGGATTAAAAATTGTAATTTCCGTCCCTATGGTTTGCAGTTTATTGTTATTTTCGTCCCTGAACTAATTCCTATCTTTTAGTACAAGAACCAAAACAGTACATAATTATAAACTACAGGGACCAAAACAACAATACGTTGTAAATTATATGGACAAAAATATTAATGAATTATAAACTATATGAACGAAAACCACAAGGATAAAAAACGCAATTTTTAACAAACCACGGGGATGAAAAACGTAATTTACCAGAATCCCTACCAAGTTTCAAAGCTCCCATCTAAAGAATAACAAAATGGGTATAGATTTCAAACCCAGATTAATCTTCAGAACCACAGTTGCTTAATAATACAGATTACATTACATCAACAACGAGGGAAATGGGTCGAACCCCTCCTCTCCTGACCCGACCCGACCCGACCAAGAAGAGAAAAGAATACAAGTATGGGGACCACGGTTCGTTCAGCCACTATACAGAAGAAGAGGGGTGAAAGCATTTGGCTCATTTCATTATACAAGAATATTTTTGCCTACAACTTCTTGATGATCATCCATGTTGACGTCAGCGACCCGAAAAGAATGTGTTCTCGGCCTGAACTTTTCTCACCTTGGTCTTATCTCGTGCTCGCCTCACCGCATCTTGAATTTGACGATCATGGTCTTTCAGCATCTGATCCATTTTCCCAGCCGGAGCTAGTAGTGGACCCGAGTAGTGAATCTTGCTGCCCTTCGATCCATACCCGAGCTGCAAAATGTATATGCAAATGCTTTAGAGGTTGTTTACTACCTGCCTGCTGACTACCTCTGACTGGGTAAGAAGTGATCTTGTTTGCCAACACATTCAGACCCACAAATACGCTGACTGAAATAATGGCCCAGTAAGAAAGGGGTTGCTTTCTGACTCGGTCAGTGCTTAAGTCGGCGCTTACCCAGACCGAACCTCTTACCTAGACTGCACTCTTAGGGGCTGTTTGGTTGATTTTTCATCAAGTCATGTATGGATAAAGCTGTCTGTATGAATTAATCTGTTTATAATAGATAGGGAAAACTTTTGTTTGGGAGGGTTTTCTCATATAGATGAAAGGAGCATGTTTTTTAATTGGGAGGGACAGGTTTGAAAAAAAAAACTTGGCTTTCTGTATACAGCTCTCCCCTAAAAGCTTACTGAATAAGCCACTTTCTATATCATTAAGCCACTACCAAACAGTACTTATAGATGACCGAATAAGCTGTGACTTGTGAGCTTATTAAGCTGCTGACAAACATGTCCTTACTCAGTTAGGGGCAATCCAATTTGTGTGGGTAAACGGCCTCTTACCCAACAATGACATAATAAAAATAAATTATGGACACAAATCTTGCATAAAACCGCTGTAACACGCAAAATAAGTGTTAAAAACTTACAGAAATTGGATCTTTATTGCTTGATCTTCCATCATCGTCGGGCTGGCCAGCACCATGTGAAGAAGCCTCTTTAAGGGATCCGGGAAATCTGCTTATTAGTCTCGGATGCTGCTGCTGTGAAGTTCCGGATTTGTCCCTGTCCCTTCGATCTTCACACAACATACTTTTTCTAGCAGCTAATGAACCTGATAAATCAGAACCGTTTGAATCAATCTTTTTTCCAACTTTTGACCAGGCGGGTCGCTGCACCAATGGCCCAGAATGTGAAGCTCTTTTATGCAGATTGTTGGTTTGCTCTTCCTCAGTTTGAGAAGGTCTCGGTGGATCAATCGGAAAGCCAGAAGCGGATTCTTCCTGTTGAGGGTTGAACTTCTCACTACGAGAGTAGGACTGCCCTTGTCTTTTCTGCATTCATATATCCAGAAATCAACAAATAAGAATACATTTGTCAAATTCTGCAAAATGGGTATGTATGATGCCACCCTCTGAAGCGACCCCACCGTACCAGTCCCCCACAGCCATCATGTGGGAGGTAAATTGTAGAGATGGAAATTTTACCCGTTGGGGAGGGCACCACGCGTACCGTCCCTAACGGGGCAGGGATTCCCTGGTTCGACGGCTAACGGGTGGGAGCGGGGGTTTTTCTTTCATACTCGAAGCGGGGTCGAGGCAGGGATGGCAATCCGACCCCGATTAATTTTTTTATTTTATTTAATATATGTATATAGTGTGTGTAATAAAAGAAAATTATATGTATAAATCTATATATTTATGATTAAATGACAAATATATTTGTTTTTCAATACTGGTAATTAATGTAGTGACGATTCAGTTAATTTTCAATATGTATAATATATTTGTATTTCCAACCCTAGTGCTTGGAGTCGAACTCCAAACCTCCCACTCATTTTGTAAGAATGCTTACTTGCTAGACTAAAGCCACGGTGACGTAAATTTGCCAAATTCTCAAAGGGTTTGGCTCCAAAATAACTGCAACATTTCCTTTTTCAACAAATCTATAATCCAAACCTACGTGTTTGCCTTCCATAGATAGCATTTTCCACAAGATTCTCCTACCTCTTTACTATTTTAGATGTTTGACTAATAACCAAACATTTTCCTTAAGGGTGCGTTTGGTACACTGGACTGGAGAGGAAGAACAGGGATCATTGTTCCATGTTTGACATGACTTTTATGTGAAACAGATAGAAACAAAGTGGAACAAAGCGGAATAGGTGTCTTCCACCCCCATTCAATGGAACAAGCCTATATTTTATCATTATACCTTTAAGATAAAGCCTAGTTCTCTTCTAAAACATCAAATACGTCTCCCTGTTTACATTTTGATCCTTTCTTTAAATTTTATTTATTGTTATTTATCCTCTTTAAATTTTCACTATAGTATTTTTATACGTTTATAATATTTTGGTTAATTTATGTAATATATTAAATATTAATAAATAAATAAACAATATAGAGAAGGTATAAAATATAATTTGGAAACTATATAAACTTCATATTATGGTGTCATTTTAGTCGATCTTGACGAAAAATTTCTAATGATATAATTTTGTCATAAAAAATATATATTTTATTATAAATTAATAAATTACATAGATTAATCAAAATACAGAAAATATGATGTGTAAATTGGACATTTTACTAGTCTTGTCTTACCAAACGCTGAACAAATGTCATGTCATGTTCTGTCTGGATAGCAAACACACTCTAAACAGCGTAACCAAACCAAAGTGGGCCGGTAAATCCCACTCAAAAGTCAGTTTTCTTTTATTTTGTATGTGTGGGGGAGGGGGTTTACCTGCATGGAGACTACAAGTTCCGCGTTAGCTTCAGGTGCTGGAATGGCTCGAGACTCCCTTGTGCCTCTCCTTTCAGCATCAGGTCGGTGAACCTTGCCTCCAGCCGCAGCTTGTCTATAATTCACAAGTGAATATCTGAATCATTAGAAAACCCAAGTTCTACTTGATACATGTTGGAAACTAACGAAAACCCCAATGAAAACCCCTTTTCTGGCTCAAATATATGTGAACAAAAGTTACCCGTTCAACACATACCTCCGAGCTTCTTCATCCCGCATTTTAGCATCAAACTCCTTACTCGGAGGATACTTTGGCAAGCTTGAAGGATCACAGGGAAGAGGTTTTGTAGCGAAGAACTGCAACAAGTAAAGAAAATATGTGCATTAAAACCAGCCTCTTAAAGAAAGATGGTCACGTTTCGATTGCTAAGAATATATGCAAAACTCCTCAATCCCAAAGCAACAGATTGGCCCAATAACCTCTAAATCAATTTAAACCCATGGTGAACGTTATTGGTAGCCCACAGCTTTTGAGCTTATAAGGAGCTCACAAATCAAATTTTCTATCAATGTGGGACACTTGCAAGTTCCAACACTTAAAATTCCTAACATCCTCGTCAGGCCTTCCCAGATGTGGGATTTGCCCAAGATGTTACAAACCCCCCCCCCCCCACTTTTTCTTAGGGACTCATCGAGTACTCGATGTAAATTACCCCACCATCCTGATGATACAATGATCGGCTCTGATACCATTTGTAACTCCCCAAAGCCCAAAGCAACAGACTGGCCCAATAACCTCTAAATCAACTTCAAAACCATGGTGTAAGTTATTGGCAGCCCCCAACTTCTGAGCAGGAGCTCATAAATCTGATCTTCTATTCCATGTGGGACGGATCGTTACAAAATGAGTCAAGAAACTCGTACCTCACTCTTCAAGGCCGAAGCTGCAGATCCACGATCAGCGGGATCTATAGAGAGGAGGGTCTCCATAAGAGCTAATGCTGGTGCCGGAAATTCCTTAAATGTTTCTGCAACACACCGTTTATAAGGTTGTTGGGGCTTGAAAATGGTGGCGTGAGGCAATTTTGATTTTTTCCAATAATCCTCCGATGGAGAGCCACAAAGCTTGAAAATTTTGTGCAGCTGTTCCACCTAGAAGCCACAACCCCTGATAAGCCTCGTTATATTGTTTAAACAAATAAATGGAAGTAAACCCAAAGGGAAGTTTTTTCTATTAACAGAAATAATGAAAAAACTATAAGGAATCTTGTTGACCCAAATCGATATCCATTTCATTATATGTAATGACGATGATAGACAAATAAGCAATTTTAGTATTTTGCCAAGAAAGTAATGGGTACTTCCTTTGTCCCAGAATAAGGGGCTGTTTGGTTGGTTTCCCATTAAGTACTGTATGAATAAAGATGCTGTATGGATTAATCTGTCTATATAGATTGAGAACATTTTTGTTTCGGAGGGTTTTCTCATAGATGGAAGAAGCCTGTTTCTTAATCGGGATGTGCAGGTTTGGAAATAACTTGGCTTTCTACATAAATCTCCCCCCTATAAGCTTACTGAATAAGTTATTTTCTATATCATTAAGCCACTACACGTATATAGCTGACCGAATAAGTTGAGTCCCATTAAGCTTATTAAGCTGCTAACAGACAATCCCTAAATGTCCATGATGAAAAACGCACACAGTTTTACAAATGTGCAATTAGTACACTTTTTAGATAAATGACAATTTTACCCTTTCAAATAGAGGAAGTAATAAATTTCTCCATCTAATAATTAAGGGTAGAACTGGAAAGAAGGCACTTACTCTTGAAAGTGGACAATTATATTGGAACAAACTAAAATAGAAATGCGGGCACTTATTTTGGGAACCGCGCCCCGGGGGGGGGGGGGGGGGGGGGTATATAACTCACCTCAGTTCTTCCGGGCATTATCGGCTTGCCGGCATATAGTTCAGCAACTATGCAACCAGTACTCCATAAATCAACAGCGATGCCATAATAGGTCGCACCAAGTAAAAGTTCAGGCGGTCGATACCATAAAGTCACAACACGGCTTGTCAATGGTTGACTCTGATGAGGGTCAAAAAAGCTTGCCAGTCCAAAATCGGCAATCTTCAAAACGCCATTATTGTCAACTAGAAGGTTTGACCCTTTTATGTCACGATGAAGAATACCATGACTGTGACAATGATTAAGTCCGTGCAAGAGCTGCCGTATGTAGCATTTAACCTGCAAAAATTATGTAACACAATAATGATTCTCACATTGTCCCACAGTTAGCACGACATTAAACAGGTGGAACAAAAATCATGGAGATGGAACAAGATTGTAGATTACTAAACTACCCATGTCAAATTAGAACGCTAAAACCTTTCACAATTCTTCCAGCCACCTACCTCACACTCAACCATCCAATCATGTCCAATTTACCTGTGTCCCAAACGCACCCTAATTATGTTATTTAATCATAAAGTAAATAACTAAAGATGCTTGTGAGGCGTTTGGTTTGCAGAATAGAATTTGGTGGAATTGGAATATAGAGAAATTTGACTTTGAAGGATTTGGAATGGAATTTGACCACGCATATGGAATCTCCATCTTTGTTTGGGGGGGAGGGTGGGGGTGGCAGCTGTGAGGACGACATTAGTGGCATGGTG